TGAAATCTCGTCAAAGAAATGCCAAGGCTCTAGAATTTTGAACATCTGTAGGTGAAAGCCATTCTACTCGTGTCGATATCAGGACGCGCGCTCAGACGGGGTTGGAGCTCTGATAGAACCCAACCTCGCAGATAGAATCATTGATTGAAAGCCTGCCCCTGGAAGGGTCGTAATTCTCTGACTGAAGCCAGAACACGGTAAAATGTTTACTGTTTACCTTCTTACAGGTCTATGCAGCTAATCTAGAGGGAACATCAGTCGTTCCTTAAAGAAATAAAACGTACTCTATACGAAGTGCGGACAATGGAGACCCTGATTCTAATTGGCGATTTTAACGCGCATATTGGAACAAACTTTGAAAAGTGGAAAGAACTGATTTGAAAACAACAGCCCAAGCGATCTCAACAAGAATGAAATGAAGTTATTGCGGCTTTTGGCAAACAATAGACTATTTATGAACACCTTTAAACATCGAAGCGAGCATCAGTATACCTACTAGGGGAAGCGTGAGCAACAGAAGTCGATGATCCACTTCGTAATCGCATAATCTAATTTAAGACCCTCTGTAACGGATGTTCTCGTTAAGAGAGAAGCAGAGCTGTCAGCCATTCATAACTTTGCCGATTACACCACCCACCATGAGAGCTGGAGCACCATGGAAAGACATTGGATCCGAAACAACCAGGGAATCGAACTGGAAACATTTTGTACAGCCGATACGAAAGCGAAATTTACAAACATAGTAAGGCGATTTGAACAGATCCCGAGATAAAAATGATGGAAAACAGAATGGAAGCACTTAAAGAGTGGCATAATCGAGACTGGCATTGAATGCTGCAGGTTCAAACCGGTTGCCTTCCGCCTAGAGGACAGAAAACAACTTCCTGGAGGACATGAGAGGTACAACTGGGAAAAATTTACGCAAAGCTGATAGAAAGGAGGTGCCGCGGAATAACTGACTCCAAGATACAAGAAGAGCAGTATGGCTTCCGGCCCGGTCGAAGTACCTCTGATCATATATTTGTCCTGCGCCAGACTGCTGAGAAATCGTGGGAGTTCATTCATCCGGTTTATATGCTACGTGGACCGTGCAACAATCTGTGGACATGCCTTCGTACGTACGGGATAGATGGCCAGCTGCTAAGGGCCATCCAGTCACTAAATTCTGATAGCAGATGCTGCGTCAGAGTAAATGGCGTCAAGTCGAAGCTTTTCAACGCTGGCACTGGGATCAGCCAACGCTGCGTCCTGTACCCTCTCCTATTTGTGTTGTACATAGATAGAATAGTCTGGCACAGTCAAGGCAATGAGTGTATCGGTGCTTGCGTACGGTCATGAGTCGTGGACCATGATTGAAATTCTTCGATCACGGATATAAGCTGCAGGAATGGGCTTTCTGAGATGAATCGTTGGTCTTACGCATCTCGATATGGTCTGGAATACTGACATCCAGGAGAGCCTTGGTGTACAGCTGCTGCTTTACCAGTGAGAAGTCACAGCTGCGATGGTTTTGGCATGTGTTGCGAATATCTCCAGTTTACCGGCAGAAGATCCAGGGCGGCCAAGGATAACCTGGTGCAAATGTATGGAATAAGACTGCTGTAGACTGCGGTTGCCTTGCGCCGAAGTTCAAACTCTCTCACAGGATCGAGAACGTTAGAAGCGGTGTCTGACGCGCTTGCCTAGGCGTGAAAGGAACATCGGTCAAGGGAAGTGAAGAAATGTGAAGTGAAAGCGTGTAATAAATGATTTATTTGATACAAGACGCATCGGCACTGCAGATGTTCGAATACCTTTGAGTCACGATAGCTAAATGCCCTGAAGACAATTAAGAGCAAGAGAGCAGTGCATTAGGCTGTGAAATCTGGTACTGCAAGAGATGCGTAATGTGACATTTATACGAGAATACCATTACAACATTTGATTAACCAGAACTAGTAAAATCTAGTAGAATCAAAAATTTTATGGTGCATAATTCTGTGATAAATTAACAACAATGAGTTTTAGTATCATGCGACAATTGTAACGGGTCTAAACGATGGGCTAGCATAATGTTTAGCCCTTGGTAGAACGAATTTCATAAGTTTATGGGTTAGAAGCAGCTGAAGGTAATTTGAGGAAAGAAGAGAGTACCTCAGTGTTCGTGCTTTAGCAACGCTGGCAGTGCTTTGTCTTTTTGCACTCTATGCACGAAAGAGAACGCTCTTTCCCGAAGTGATATTCGTTCATCTTCTTATTTTGCTTAATCTAAGAAATGCTGAACGAATCGACCTTGAAGTAGTTCAACCAATCATGGGGGATACCACAAATTATACACCTACTCAGAAACGAAAGAATTGGTTTCTTTTTATTTTTTACCGCTTTCGTTCCCATGACGGTTTGTCAAGTTTGCGTCTTTTTCTCCGCACTGGGGAAGCGAGAATGTCATCGGCACTGTCAGACGATTCGTCATTCTGAAAACAAGGCGAAATAACAAACAAGAAAATATTCACTCTGTTCGTAAACTTACTTCATTATCCTCGTCACCACTGCTATCCTCATAAACAGAGTTGAAATCAGGACAGTTCAGTTCCGGAATTTCTTCAGCCTTTAACAGCAAATTTACCTGTCTTGCGTTGTATATATTGTCGATGTGGAACGGCCTACGACTAAGATAAAACAAATGAGTGAAAATTTAATGAGATAATTAAACATTTTGTGCAAATATATAATATACGTACATAAAATCATAGTAAATGTTGATCATAGCTTCTTCATAAAGAAGTTTCGAAAAAACGTATGATCTCAGTGGTAGTCGACGACAAGAAATAAGCCACTCAAGTCTGTTTACTTTTTTTGTTCAACCTGCTTAAATATACACTGAATTTATAGTAACAAATCAGATCAATTTCAAATGACATATTTAGCTGAAACGGAAAATATGGTGGAAGCTCCGCATCGTGCTCCCTTCTTTAATCATCTGGCCTGCAATTACTACAGTTAAACTTTGAAACGAAAATCTGACCTATGCCCAAGCTTGCTTTCATATGCGCAAACAGATTTGGTCATCCAGTAATTGAAAACCACCACCTGATTGAAAACAAAGTTCAACGGCAAACCTTTACAAACAAAATACTGGGGTAACGAGGACACTGAACAATTTCAGCTAAGCCTGAGAGACCGCATCGGGGCGTAGAAGGCCATGACGATAGCAGCCATAATAACCTATTTTTTCTGCCTCAGACGTTGTAACGGCATCGTTCGTATGCATTTAGCAGTCTAGGGGACCGTTAAAAAATTTAAGCACCGTTGGAGTGAAAGCAGGTGTTTATTCGACCAGTGATGAGATTTTGTGCAAATACCATGGACCCATGGCCTGCTTAAACAGTCCCTTAAGCATCTAGAAGCAAAAGGTCGGCGGAACTGCGTCACGTGAATCCGAAAAAGTGACAGGAGATTGGAGGTACATAAAAAACATATTTCAGAGTATTTCGCCTCTGTACTCACTAGTGCGTCTTGACGGTTGCGACACCGCAACGCCTTAAACGCAATGTTGGATCTTGAAAGACAAAGTACCAATATATAGCGTAGGAGTTTTCAACTAATTCTAACAGTCACTAATGTTACCTGTCCGCAATGTAGAAAATAGTATCTTCCGGAGGTTGCAACGTCTCGACCAAATTCTCACAGCCGCCGCAATTAATTAGCACGAAATGCTTTATCTAAAATAGCATAATCTCTTAGAAAGAACAGACGCTCCACTGACGTTCGCGTTCAAAGATCGATAAGCAAAACATATGAAATTCTGACAAAGATATACAAAAGCTTTCTTACATGAGCACAATATTCAGCGACTGATCTGTTCAGATCCGCAATGTTGGATAACGGGACAATTGTATACGGAGTCTGATCATGGTGAAAAATGTACTGAAATAAAACACATAAAATGTGCAAAATGGTAAATGACAAATATCAAACAATTGAACGAATATCAAATTTTACAATATCACCGTTGTTCATTTAAGACCAAGTAAATGGTATGTGTGTGTGCGTGTGTGTGTGATTACTGAGCTCATCGCGCTGAGCTGTTTGCATAAGCAAGCAGAACGTCTTTGGAATGTGATGACCGCTGTTGTCGCAGCTTTTCAACGCTTTTTCTATAAGGTATCGGTTACCGCATCTTAGAAGGAAATATTTCTTTCCGAAAGATCTACCTCAACCTTGTTCATCTATAGCACGCACTTGTTTCCAGGTCGACGTCTGTCCTGTTTCAGACTCAGACGCGAAGCTCACCTGTTCGAGCAAATAGGTTTATGCTCAATGAACTTATGTAACAGGACTAATCTGTTATCTTCATCGCCACTCTACTGAGTACACCTGTGCTCCGAACAGACTACAGGTACTCTTGACATGTGTATCATACGGACAGCTATTGCCCGTTTAACTTCGCACATATTTTAAAGGATAATCATGAATGGTTGGGGTATTAAATAAGAGAACGCATACATCAGCCAGTTCAAACAAGCTTGAAAAATTTGAGACAGTCTCTACTATAACATTCTACTATACCAGAGCAACCACTGTAGTACTCATCGGTCTGCTTCTCGCCACAAACTTAATTAGTTGCTGCACAGCAGTCCCTACTTAGCCATATGAGATCCTTCCCAATGAGGTTTCTGACCATAATACTTTAACTGCGGCCAAAAAATCCCCATTCCGCGGTCGCCTTCATGGAGAAAAACACTAGGGCAACAGGTGAGAACAAAATTTCGGCCCACACACTGATTATTAAACAGTAAACCGCCCAA